GAACCCCAGAAAGCATGGCCCCCAGACTCTCTGTCAACCCAGAACTAAAACAATTCCTGAGGCCAACTCTTCAGACAAAGATTAGACTGGACTGTGGGACATAAAAGGATACTCGTGAAGAATGGGCTTCTTAGCTCAAGTAGATACATGAGACCAAATGGGCAGCTCCTGTCCGCAGGTGAGATGAGAAGGCAGAGAGGGTCAGGAGCTGGTTGAATGGACTTGGGAAATCTGGGGTGGAAAGGAGGAATGTGCTGTCACAGTATAGGGAGAGTAACTAGGGTCACATAACAATGTATGTATAAATTTTTGTATGAGAAACTAACCTGAATTGTAAACTTTCACTCAAAGTACAATAAAAAATAAAAAATTTTCCTTCTCTCTAACCGCCACTCTTAAGTTTTCTGAATAAGCTCTCCATTTCCTCTGCCTGAAATGCCTTTAACTCAGGAAACAACTCCTAGACTCAGGCTCTAGCGGCGGCTCCAGGCTATAACAGATGCTTAACAAAGGAGCCTAGAATGTACTCCAGGAATATGATTCTCTGAATCCAGATGTGTAGGAACAGCTTTTAAGAAAAGCTCCATCCACTATTACAAGAACTCAAGAAAAGGTTTAAACACAGAAGAAAACATTCTTTGATGGTTATGACAGTGGGGAGGGAGGGAGAGGGTTATTCACTAGCTAGACAGCAGACAAGAATTATCTTAGGCGAAGGAAAGGACAGCACACAGTACAGGGGAAGTCAGCACAACTGGACTAAACCAAAGCTAAGAAGTTTCCTGAATACAACCAGACACTTCGAAGGACAGAGTAGCAGGGGCGGAGGTCTGGGGACCATGCTTTCAGGGGACATCTAGGTCAACTGCATAACAATGTTTACTAAGAAAATGTTTTGCATCCTACTTTGGTGAGTGGCGTCTGGGGTCTTAAAAGCTAGTGAGCGGCCATCTAACATGCATCAATTGGTCCCAACCCACCTGGAGTAAAGGAGAATGAAGAACACCAAAGTCACAAGAAAAATTATTAGCCAAAAGACAGAAAGGGCCACATAAACCTAAGACTGCACTAGTCTGAGACCAGAAGCATTAGCCTGAGACCAGAAGAAGTAGGTGGTGCCTGACTACCATCATGATTGCCCTGACAGGGAACACAACAGACAGTCTCTGATGGAGCAGGAGAAAAGTGGCGCGCAGAACTCAAATTCTAGTAAAAAGACCAGACTTAATGGTCTGACTGAGACTGGAGGAACCCCAGAAAGCATGGCTACCGGACTCTCTGTCAACCCAGCACTAAAACCATTCCGGAAGCCAACTCTTCAGACGAAGATTAGACTAAACTATGGGACATGATACTTGTGAAGAGTGTGCTTCTTAGCTCAAGTTGATACATGAGACTAAATGGGCAGCTCCTGTCCGGAGATGAGATGAAACAGCAGAGAGGGTCAGGAGCTGGTTGAATGGACATGGGATATCAGTGGTGGAAAGGAAGAGTGTGCTGTCACAGTATAGGGAGAGCAAATAGGGTCACAAAACAATGTATGTATAAATTTTTGTATGAGAAACTAACTTGAATCGTAAAACTTTCACTTAAAGTACAACAATAAAATAAAAGGTCCACGACTCCCCAAAGAGTCTGCCTAATGCCTAGTACCCTGCAACCAATGAACCTCAACAAAGGACCCAGGGGATAAGAAAAAAAAAAAGAATAACGACAGCAACTAATGTTCACTGAGCGCTTTCTCCACCGCCAGGCATTATGCTCCAGGAACTTGATTTGAATGATCTCATTTAAACAAACACACACCCCCCTTAAGAAGTAGGTACTATTATTACCTTATTATGGGGATGGAAGATGAGGCCTGAGAGTTTAATTAACTCACTGACGCTCGAAGCAGCCAAATCAGGATTCAAACCTCGGCTGTCATTCCCTCCTAACCACTGTTGTTGGTTGTTAGGTGCCCTGGAGTCGGTTCCGACTCATAGCGACCCTACGTACAACAGAACAAAACACTGCCTGGTCCTGCGCCGACCTCAAACTTGAGCTTATATGTGCTATGTTTGAGCCCACTGTTGCAGCCATTGTGTCAGTCCACCTCGGTGAAGGTCTTCCTCTTTTTCCCTGAACCTCTAATTTACCAAACATGATGTTCTTCTCCAGGGACTGATCCCTCCTGATAACATGTCCAAAGTAAATGAGATGAAGTCTCGCCATCCCTGCTTCTAATGAGCCGTCTGGCTGTACTTCTTCCAAGACAGATTTGCTCATTCTTCCGGCAGTCTATGGTATATTCAATATTCTTCGCCAACACCCTAATTCAAATCCATCAATTCTTCGGTCTTTCTTATTCATTGTCCAGCTTTCGCATACATTTGAGGCGACTGAAAATACCATGGCTTGGATCAAGCGCACCTTAGTCCTCAAAGTGACATCTTTGCTTTTTAATACTTTAAAAGGTCTTTTGCAAGCAGATCTGCCCAACGCAGTACGTCGTTTTGGATTCCTAACCACTATACTGGACTAAACCCAGGCAGATCAGAACATCGAGGTGGTATGTAGGAGGTCTATAATATTAAGCCCAAACCGCAGGAAGGGGTACAAGACCGACCGCACGCGGCAGAAAATAGGACAACAGGGGAGCCCAGGTACAGACACCGAATCACATTAAAGTCTGGCCGCCAAAGTGAACTGACAGGTATCAACCACCCACAAAGTTCAAAGGATTCCTGTCACCCCACGCCGACCCACCCGCTTTGAGACGCAGGTCCTCACGCCAGGATTCCCGAGTCAACAACCCCGGCGCCGACCCTCGAGTCTGGCTGGGGCCTCCCGGTGCCGCCGCACCCCCGGCCCGCCCACCTGTCCCGCGCCCTTTCCCGCGAACGCCGAGCCCCTCGCGGCCTCATCCCCCGGGGTTGCGGCCTAGGCCGGCGCCGCCCACCCCGGCCCCGGATCGCCCCTCTCCGCCGCCCGAAGACCGGCACTGACCGTTGTACGACTTCCCCTCGTCCGCCATGGCACAGCGAGAAGTAGGGACGCTCAGGCGCGGGCCTCGACGCAGCCAAACGTCAGAATGCCCGGGAGCCCAGGCCGAAGCGTTTCTACTCCCGGCGCCGCCGCTTTTACCCACAGAGGCACGTCGCACGCCGCCGACGTCCCCAGGTGGTGGGCGGGGCCGCCGGGAATGAGCGCAGCGCGCGGCGCGCGCGCACTCGGCGGGATACCGCCTGGGGGAGGGGCTTGCTCCACGGACTGAGCTTTCCGAGCACTGAAGCCCAGGCCAATTCACCCTGGCACCTTCTTCAAACGTCCGCTGAGGATCCGCCGGCACTTCCAGAGGAGGAGCGGGTTAACCAATAAGCACGGTACGCACGGGTTTGTGATTACTTACTAATCTGTAGTGCACAATTTCATCTGGGTTTCATGTCAAACCCAGGTGAAACTGTGCACTACAGATTAGTAAATAAGCACACTTAAGCCCGTACGTATCTTGCTTACTGCGTAATCCGTCCCTGCTCCAGAGTTAGCGCTGGAGCGGCGAACAGACCAATGGCCTCGAGGATGCTCCAGCCCAGAACTCCGAGAGGAATGGGTAAGAAGGCCCGTGCGAAGGGCTTCCGAGGAATCAGAGACCCGACCCCCGAGCGGGAGTGATCGCTCACCGGCACCTAGCGGGATCCAGACCTGTTGAAAAAGTCCTAGCTCATCCCCTTACCAGCACCGGACCTTGAGCCTCGCTTTTCTCACCCATAAAATGTTAATAACCACGAAATTAAACACTAGAATCTAATGAGAACACTAGAATGAATGACAACAGGTACCATGGCTTAATCCATGCTTTTTTCCTCCAGCTCCTAGCCCAGTTCCATGCCTGGCACACAGCAGGAACTCAACAAGTATTTGTGAAGTGATTTCTGTTCTAAGCATTCCTCTCCTGGAAGACTTACCCAGTCAAATGAGGCTGCACGTATGCCAGGCTTTCGGCGAGCACTTCTTCACAAATGTCCCCACCGTGTGCTGTGCTAGACCCACATCATGCGTCAACTGGGCAGACAACGAAGGTGCAAGACCACTTGAAGAGAGGCCAAAGTCAAAACTAAACCCATTGCTATGAGTCGATTCTAACTTGTACTAACCCTACAGAACTGCCCCATAGGGTTTTCAAGGATGTAATTTTAATAGGAGCAGACTGCCACATCTTTCTCCTGTGGAGCAGCTGGTAGGTTCCAACTGCTGACCTTTCACTTAGCAGCCGAGTGCTTAACTACTGTGCCACTAGCACTCCTTGAAAAGAGGCCAAGGGGAGAGGAATTCTTAAAATGCCAGGGTGAGAAAAGTCACAGGCTCCTGTAGGCCCCAAAGGTACTAACTAGGGCAGGCCCAGAGCAGGGTGACTGGAGCCTCTATAGCTTGAGTTTCCTTTGGGGTGTGTCAAAGAGGGACTCCTGTGATCTCAGAATGGTGTGGTTGTGGGTACCAGTCAGGAAGGACAAAACAGCCTATTAACCTCCCTGGAGGATAGATATCCGGGCAATTCTCTCTGTTCTTTGACTGGCTTGGATTTGGTGAGGGCTTGGAGAAGACCCAGAGCATCAGCTGAAGCAGGGTACATCTTCACTTCACCTTCTGGTACTGGCAGCAGGCAGAGCTCCTACCTCATCCAGCTCAGAGAAGAACTGAGGTCAACTGGTTGGAGGATGCAGATGGAACCAGTCCACATACTGCTTAAGATGGGTCTTGGAGTTGCCACCAATCACCCACTCTGGGATCCTGCTCCTCCTTTTGAAGGAAGTTTCCATGCTAATGAGGTTCTGCTGCACTTGGTTATCTTCTGCCTGAAGGCAGCTGTGTGTGCAGAGCCCAGAGGCAGCAAGGGTCAGCCTTGGGGCCCCTTGGAGCCATTAGCCCAACCCTTTCAGTTTTGGTACTGGGCAGTGGTTTTACCCCACTTGCTGCCTAGGCCCTTCGACGCTCCCACCCAGAAATGACGACATGGCTAGTGAGGCTGACAGTCTTGCTGTAATTGGGAGAGAATGGGCTGCAGCACATTTGGCAGATTCAGAGTCCCAGCAGCCAATGTTGGGGGTTGTGAAGGCAGCGGAGGGGCTCAGGGCCCCCTGCCTCATATGGTGAAGAGAGGAAGAAGAAAGAGGTCAAGTTCTAACCCAGATGGGGAAGTTGGTCCCTGGGACAGTTTCTCTTCCTCTCCTCGCTCCCAAGAAGGTAGGGAAGGGCCTCATTTCCCCTTGCTGCCGAAGTTTCCTTTGGGAGAGGCGGGGGAGGGTTTATAAAAACTAGTGGAGACCACCTCTCCCACTGGCCCCCAGCTGGCCTCTACTCCCTTCCAGCCACTTCACAGCAGAGTCCAAATCCAGAACCATATATGTTTCATGGGCCACGGGTGGTGAGGAAGGACGGTGGCCAGAGGCAAGATAGGGGCCGGGGGGTCAAGGGACAGTGTGGCCATTCTTAGCAGTTCTAGGGAAACAGGGCCTTTCTCCCAAGCACCCTGCACAGGCTCAGTGGCAGCACTGGCCACCTGCCTGGGAGGGCTCCAAACCCCCACGGAGTGCCTTAGAGTAGAGGGTTCAGGCAAGAAAGACCACAAAGATGATGAAGAAGACAATGAGGATGAGGAAGATTTTGACCATGAGCCACCGGTTGGAGGTGACTGACTGGAAGTACTTGAGGATCTCTGAGTGGGCGGCCTCAACATCCAGCTGGGCTCCTAGTACGTTCTCGTCGATCCTGGGGACAGGCCGAGAGGAAAGGAAACAGAAGGACACTGGATTAAAAAAAATGCTGTTGAGGTGTATTTACTGACATGGAAAGATGGTCACAATATGTAGGGGCAAAAAGCGTTTATATACAATATGATGCCATTTTTTTGTATATATAATGGGGCATAAAAAAGGCTCAGGAAGGCTACATAACCAAGTCTTGGCTCTGGTTTGAAAACCAGCTCTGCGCTTATTAGCTTATGACCCTAAACCAGTCATTTAACCTCATGTCTCATTTTCCTCATCTGCAAAATGAGGATAACACCTCTCAGGCTGTTGTCGGTCTTAAATAAAGTGACAAATATAAAATGCCTAATCCATAGTAAAGGAGCCCTGGTGGCGCAATGGCTAAGCGCTCAGCTGCTAACAAAAAGGTTGGTGGTTAGATCCCACCCAGCAGCTCCACAGGAGAAAAGGACTGGCAATCTCTTTCGTAAAGATTATAGCCCAGAAAACCTTCTGGGGCAGTTCTACTCTGTCACATGGGGTTGTTATGAGTCAGAATCAACAACCCGTGGTTAAGGGCCCTCAAAATGTTAGCTATTACAATATTTTGCTCATCATATTTACTCCTTTTTGTCTAATAAACATACGCTGCATTTCTAATAGGGAAAAAAGTTCACAGACTATCACAGTCAGGAAATCCTGGTTCTGAGTGAGACAAGAAGAGAAACTTGATGTGGACAGGAGGAAGTCGGGATGAGAAAAGGCCCTACTAGGAGCACATGGCTCCCAGAAGGGAAGTGTGAGGTAAGAATTGTAAGCCGTTAATTGGATCAGTGCTAGCAGTTTCAGATGAACGGCTTAGGTACAATTTTATAGCAAGTTGAAGCAGAAAAGGGAAATAAGGAAGCAGAAAAAATTTGCAGACAACCATATGCAAAAGAAACTGAAATTCTGAAAGGATGAAAATTTTCAAATAGACAGACATTCTTACGGTTAGAGGATTAGACATTTTTATGTATAGAGAAGTTCTCAGAGGGAAGGGCGATCTCTTGAGAGTGCTGAGGAAAATAAAGGATTTCCCAGTCAACCTTTATATGCAATCCTAAAAACCAAACAGAAACCCTAATCTTTGCAAAGGGAATCCTTGGGAGCCGAGACCTTTATCAGCTGCCAAGTATGGAGAATCTGGTGGAGCCTGGCACTCCAGCTGGAAAGTAGAGGAGAGGGTAGGCCAGTGGCTGCCAGTCCCCAGTCCTGTGAAGGTGGTCATGAGGACTGTGAGCTAATCTCAGTGTCTCAAATAAAGGAGCCTGGATTATATGTGATTCTCAAATAATGTTGGAGAGGCTAACTTAAGTATCAAGCTTCCTAGCTTTTGGGTATAATCACATTTCTCAGTGTGGGTGCATTTGTCTTCTTATCACTGAATAATGGGCAATTATGAATGACTTTGCTTAACGAAAATGGAAAAACTTTAATAAATGCAATCTGGCATATAAAAGATTTTGAACCAGAGTCCGTGAATGAAAACTGGGAATTTGGGTGGTGAAAAAATTAGGAATCAGTGGGATATTCAGAGATAGAAATGAATGGGACAGAAAATATTGCTTGGCAAGGAGACAGCTGAGCTGAGGAAAACAGAAAGGGGAAAAGTATGCAATCGTAGGAGGGTAAAAGAATGTCCTATGGAGACAAAGACACACAGAGGGAAAGAATCAAGCAGTAACAAGCTGGAGTCTTGGGAACTGACAACAGCAACTTGGAAGATTACATAGGAACCTTAGAGGGCAAGGAGCTTATGTTAATGAGGAACAACTCAGAAAAGGAGGGTGAGAATGGCTGCACAACTTGAAGAATGTAATCAATGTCACTAACTTGTAACATGCAGAAACTGCTGAATTGGTGTATACCTTGCTGTGTATGTTCTCAACAACAAAATAAAATTTAGAAGGAAAAAAAAAAGAACTCATGTGACAACCAGAACATACGAATGTTGACACATTACAAAAAATGCAATCAATGTCACTGAATAACTTGTGTAGAAATTGTTAAATGGGAACCTAATTTGTTGTGTGAACTCTCACCGAAAACACATTATTATAAAAAACAAAAAATAGTGACTGAAACAGAAAAGAAAAATTGCTTACAGATATGGTCGACATTGTGAAGGTGACGTGCACACGAGTCACTCTTGGAAAGTAAAGGATAAGGAGTGTACAGGGGCATGCTTATGATATTATTCGTGGGAGGAGACCAAGGCACCTGACAGCCATCTGGCTATCTCCTGCCCAATATGTGGACACTTTGCATGGCTCGCTCAGGTCTGGACCTTCTCCAGAGGGTCCTCAGGTAAGACACAGAAGATGAATATTAATCTTAGCCAAGAATGGGCAGCTAACACCCTCTAGGTATTAAAAAAAAAAAAAAAAGAAGCTGGAGTGTGGCTGAGCAGAAATGACAGATAATGACATTGATGTGAACGTGTGGGAAAGCAGAGGACTATAATGTGAGTATGAGAAGTTGAGGACAAAAAAAACAGGTTGACCCTAAGAAGGCAATGAGCCCAAGAACTGGAAAGATCATTTGCCCATAATAAAGAGACCTGGAATTTTAGTTTTCTAGAGTTTCTGTTTCCCCAAATTTTATAATGACTGGGAGTAATGGAGTCATGTTAAGAGTACACAGAAGCTGGCCTGAAGTAGCTCCACAGGACCAGAATGAGGAAATCTGATCGCCATAAAGAATGATGGCAGATGGATTATAATACATTGAATAAAAAAAGCCGTGATTTCATAGTGATACTTAGAAAATGCCAGCTAACAAATGTACAAGCAATGATAGAATTAGAAAATCACCATTTTGCAAATGCATAATCTAACAAGTGATTCAGGCAAGGATCATCATGGGGCTGGGGAGCTGGACATTCACATGGACTCAAAGCATTGCTCCACAGATGACTTAGTCACAAAAAGGAGGAAAATGGGCCTTTTCGATGGAGAGATTTGATAGTCATCACCTTAAAGTGACCAAACTTGGCATCACCAATGAAGGGATAGTCACACATTAAATGCCTACTGATGTGATCACCTAGACAGCACAGCCAAAAACAGCCTAAACCTAATCATGAAGACACAATGGACACATGCACAACGCAGGACTTTCTATAACGCTACTGCACTGGCCTCTTCAAAAACAAAAGTCAATGCCATTAAAAACTAAGATAATACAAAAGGCACACTAAAGAGAAATAACAACCAAATGCAATATGTGGATCCTGCTGGGTTCTAAAGTGAATAAAAAAAAAGCTAAAAACTTTTTTTTAGAACTGAGAAATTTGAAAACGAACTGAGTACTAGATTAAAAAAAAACTCCTTGCCGTTGAGTTGATTCCGACTTATAGCGACCCTACCGGACAGAGTAGAAATGCCCCATAGGGTTTCCAAGGAGCAGCTAGTGGATTCAAACGGCTGACCTTTTGGTTAGCAGCCAAGGTCTTTAACCACTGCACCACCAGGGCTCCTAGATAGGGTTGGAGAATTGTTCATTTTTTAGGTATGTGTTATGAGTTGAATTGTGAACCCCACCCCAAAAAGATGTGTTCAAGTCTTAACCTCTGGAACTTGCTGATGTGACTTTGTTTGGAAATAGGGTCTCTGAAGATGTTATTAGTTCAGATAAGGTCATACTGGAGTAGGAAGGACCCTAATCTAACATGACTGGCTGTCCTTATAAAAAAAGGAGAGACACAGAAAGAGCAACACAGAGGGAAGATGGCCAAGAAACACAAAGACTGGAGTGACACATCTACAAGCCAAACAACACAAAGAATTGCCAGGAACCCCCAGAAACTAGGAAGAGGCAAGGAGTGATCTTCTCTAAGAGTCTTCAGAGAGGGCATGGCCCTGCTGACACCCTTGATATCAGACTTCTGGCCTCCAGAACTGTGAGACAGTAACTTTTTGTTGTTTTAAGCCACCCAATTTGTGGTACTTTGTTACTGCTGCTCTAGGAAACTAATATAGTATAATAATGGTATTGTGGCTGTTCAGGAGAATGCCTTACTTTTAGGGGAGGCATGCTGAAGTATTCAGGATAAAATATCATAATGTTTCCATTTTCGAATGGTTCAGGAAAAGAGAGAGAGAGCAAATGTGGTAACACGTTAACAGTTGCCAAGTCTAGGTGAAGGGAACGTGGGTGTTCATGTGCTATCCTCCCAACTTTTCTGTTGTTTGAATATTGTCATTTAAAAATTGGGGGAAAAAGAAATGACTAACATTAGATCAACAGTTTTCACACCTTAGAATAAAATAAGAATCACTGTTGAACTTCTCAAAAATTCATAGGTTTCACATCCAGAGATTCTAGAGTGAGGCCCAAGAATCTACATACTGAAGAACTCCAGGTTCAATCAGTGGTTTCCAAAGAGGGTGCTCAAACCCAGATCCAGCAAGCAAATGCAAAAAAGTCTATTTTAAAAATTGCATCCTTTCAAAATTTCAATTTCTTTTGCATATGGTTACCCACAAATTTTTTCTATTTCCTTATTTCCCTTTTATGCATCAACCTGCTATAAAACTGCTTCTGAAACTGCTGGCACTGATCCAATTAGTCCCAGCTCCACCCCCCCCATCCAATTAACACCATACCCTCACACTTCCTTTCTCAGAGGCACTAAGAAATGACCTTCCTCAAACTCCGTCCACCACAGCTTACAAGAATACATCTCTCTCTGGCTCCTCTTTCTTCTCCCATCTTCCTTAACCTTCCTCCTCAGTCTCCTTGGGCAGATCATTCCCTTCTCTGCATATCCTTTGAATGCTGGTGTTACATGGGAATCTGTCCCATCCTTTTTCTCACTTTACCCATTGACCCTGGGTGGTCTCCTCTATGCCCATGGTTTCACCAGAAGGCCACTGATTCTTAATTCCTTATCTCTAGCTCAGCCTTCTCTTCTGAGCATCACACCATGCATCAAATGCCTGCTGCACCCTGCCACCTGGCTGTCCCATGAAGTCTGACACTCGGCACGTTCAGAACAAACCCTATTCTACTCAGC